TTAATGAGTTTTTTGGGTTCATTGAGAACATGGTTGTTGTTCAATAATAAAATTATTCCTCAAAAATACAACTTGCCTAATAATTCTGCACTCCCTGTAAGTACCACCAATTTTGAGCAAACACAGTAGCATACAGTTAGGACCATAATTTTTGGGGATGATGACAAATTTGTGTCATTTTTCTTTGTGCTACCACAGTGGATTTTAAAATCAATCAAGATGAAACTGAAATACAGACCTTCAGCTTTAATTCAAGGGGCTTAATAATCAATATTTTTAGATTAGCTGTAAATTACAGCATTTTTTTTAAAATAAATAACCCCCTATTTAAAGAGGATCGAAACTAACTGGGCACCCAAACAGAATTTTAAATACAATGATGATTTTAAAAAATATGGAAGAAAATCCTTTGCAATCATTGTGTAGCCCACCTGTACTTACCGTGCCAGGTAAGCACCTTGGGTTCTTTAAACCAAACAACTTTAATCCAATAAGAGTATGTCAAATATTACTTAGTGTCTTGAGTGTTGTTAGATGAACTTTAAAATACTAGGATACCTATTTAAAACTATCAAATGCAGGTATTGTAAAAGTAACAAATTTAGTACACTTACAAATCGCTAATGTAACACTTAGTCATCAAATGCCCCAACCTTAGTAACTAAGGAAATAAAATGACTCGGACCAGTTTCAGAAACAATTGAGTTGAATTAAATTATCTTGAAAACTAAAACAGAGAATTGTGTAAAATGCCGGGTTACAATTACTTTAAAATGTCTCATTATGTTTGGTATGGTCATTTGGATAACTCAAATTCAACTTCAGTAACACAAAGGGGGGTCCACACTCTCTCTGTGCACACACTCAAGCCAGCATATGTTAAAATAAAATAACACCAACAGAAATGAAAACTTGTTGCAGGCCTGAAGTGATGCTTGGGAGCAGTGTGGCCCAAAACGTGATGGTCACTTCACTCAAAGACGAAAAAATACATAAAATATTGTACCCTATAATGCCGAACTTGCAGTCTTTATGCTCTTGGAAGAGCATGATGAGGAAAAGAACTCGCTGTTGGAAGATATCTGGCAGTAAAAGTCTCTGCACCTCTAGCTTCTAGTCTCTCAGTCAGTTCAAGGAATGAAGAGTGATCGGCAGACATCCAAAGATGGTGCGGGCTCCGTATTAGTATCACATGCACTCTAGGTTGTCTTGGCATCTCTTAACTAACTGATGAATATTCACAGTTTCTACATATTTAGCCACTCAGCTAATGAGCTGACACCCATGTGTGCTGTGATGCTAACTTAAAGCTAATGCAAACATGAGCAGCTGCACTGTGTTTTTTAGGAGAAATGTCTCCAGCTTCTCACAGGCAGTTTGACTTTTTTTTTTTGTAATTTTTATATTGTAAAGTCTAAGATTCATGCCACACTACAGTTATTGGCAAAATCAAGAAGAAGAAGAACAAAGACTGTTGATAGTCCAATTCATACATACACTTTCTGCACTTAGTCCAATCACTTCCACCCAAGATTACGTCCACTTAAAATTATGAGCTCTTCGCAACAAACAGGATGCTTGTAAATATGAATATAATAATATTTGGGTGCTGCTCGTTTGGGGTCTCTCTCTTCAGTTACTACAAAGCATGCTCTGTTGGGATTACAGATCAGCTGACTGACTTAAATAGTATCCCATCTCTGTTTTTGCACTATGCTTTCCATCATTATCCATTTGCACTGTAATGTGGAGTTTAATCAGTTTTGTATCATTTGGCTTAACCTGAGCAGAGTACAGAGAAAGAGTATAGCCCTGTACACTTCATCCTGCTACTTCTACGAGCAGTCACATGATCAGTAAACACTAATTACCTTTTCTACTCACAGCCATACATGCCCGTAACCATTTGCACCACCTTTTCTGACACATAATGCAGTATGCTTTGGCTCATGAAGTTTTCTGCCTGTCTAATTTGGCCTTCCTGTTCTTAAATGCAATCGGTGGATTGCGACTTTTTGTAATCTCTTTGTACGCACATTCATGAGGCAATTTCTTGAATGTAGATGTCAGTGATATGCCTACCTTCTTGACAAAGTTCTTAATTTAGCTGGATGTTGCGAAAGTTTTTTTTAATTTTTTGTTTGTTTGTCTTAACCAAGTTAAAACTTCTGCAATCAAGAACTTTAGTTGTCTTCAATGGTCTTTAGGATGTTTTGGTGTTGCTGAACTGGCCAGTGCATTCATTTTTATTTTTATTTTTTTACAATCTACCATACTGGTTTTTGGCACATGATTAAGACTCAACATGATGGCCTCCTTCATTTGCACCTCTTTGGACTGCACACTAAGAGTTCCAGTGAACAGCATCCAAATATGAGAAAAAACAGTATGGGAATATGTATAACAATGGCTGTAAATCCGAAACAGTTTGTGTAACACATTTGTCAAAGTCCTTAAATTACAGCTGAAACTGCACTTCAATAGCATTTTGGCTGTTTGATTTTAAAATCCACTGTAATAGTGAACAGCAGGCAAAAAAACAAGCAAAACTACAAAAAGTTGTGTGGTATTGACCTAACTGTAACTCTAGGGTTGTTAATCTTCACCTAACTGCTGGGCATTTAAAATTACATAGTCCAATTCATACATACACAGTTGCACAGACTTCTCGTCCTTTCTGCGCATCTCAGTGCAGCTACCAATCACAACATTCATTTTCGTCCATAATTCTTCCGCTTAAATTCATGAGCCTCAACACCAGCATCTTTAAGCTTTCATTTATTCACTAAAATATTTCTGCACTGAAACACTGATTGGCACAGCATCAATAGCTGCCAGATGTTTTATCTGGTTAATGCTCTATACATAGTCTAGCTATTAACATTCAGCAACTGCACTATTCCATTCCTGCTATTGCTATGTGATCCATAGCTATTAACAGGGGTGCACATAAGTGGTCCACAGGTGCGCATTCGCTGTCAAAATAAAAGACGCACACCAGATAAGAAGTTGCAACGCGCATTTGCGTACATAAGATTTTCTGGAGGAGGACAGACATTTGTTTAGAATTCTTAAAGATGTCGAAGAAGCTCCTTTAAGCAATTACTTTGGTGTTCCTCCACCTCCAAATAAATGTAAGAAGGAGTCCGAACCACAAAAGAAGCACGTATTCTCGGAAAAGTGGTTGCAGGAGGTGAGCTGGCTTCAAACAAAAGATGAACGCACAGAGATATGGTGCAGAATATCCCGTGAAAATCCCACTCTAGCAGACAAAAACAGTGGCTTTTATATGTATGCAAATGCGCGTTGCAACTTCTTATCTGGTGCACGTCTTTTATTTTGATGGCGAATGCGTGTTGTTTCCCAACAGTGTCTTGTCTTATCTTGTTGTACTCTTGCTATTGCACACTTGAGTGTCCACATTGATCTCTTATGGTGCACTTGCAAAACAGCAGACATCACACACAGAGCTTATCTTATCGCCCTGCTCAGTTTAATGTCACAGTTTCCATCCTTCCAGCTTCCCAGTTCAATTGCTAAACTGTGAAGTTAAACTCATAACCAGTTGCACCAATTGTTTTATTCACAACAGGTTTTTTTTTCTGAAAGCTCCAATACCATGCTTCATGTCAGCTGCAGCACCACTCTTAAAGGTTATTAAAAAGGGAATTTTAATATAATGCTTTATTATAATCCTTACATAATGTAACTCAGTGGAAGAAAACACATTGGTTACACAACTTGCATCTTTCTGTTTTGCTTTGTTTTGTTAGGTTATTTATTGCAGTCGTCTTGCAAAAGATTGTGCCACTAAAGGCTAGCAAACAAAAAAAATGCAAAAAGATATATTTTTAAATATATATATATATACATATATATATATATATATACACACACACACATGTATGTATGTATATAAGACAAAGTTATGTGCGTCCTCTTACTTGCTTTTAATAGATAGTTTGGCCAATTAGAAATCTGATACTACAGTCTAATAAGATAAAAAAGTAATACTAAAGTAGGCCAGCGCATACTACCGGATAAAAGAGCATGGCCATATCTTGCAAGATCTAATGTCTGTACGTACTCATTTACACATTTGCACGTCAAACAGATGTCCCAAATTTAAGAATCCATTTTAACACACTTTTGAAAAGTCAGATTCTATAAATTGCAATAATATTTTTTTTCTAGGCCAGGTCAGACAAATTTGTTCTTTCACCAGTATGTCATTAGTGTATTCATTTACACTGATGCAATGGCATTTCATCCATATTCCAATCCCATAATTTCAAGAAATATAAAATTACACAAGGGACACCTGAATGCCACTGTCCTATAAGAAAACCATTTACATCCCAAACTCAATTTGTACATTACACACTCTACCAAAAAATGTTATTTGGTTCATATGCTGCTCAGAAACTGAATACCACAGGGCCTAACCCACAGTAGGTGGTTAAGTGGTTAACTGTTTGTGTGGTTGTTGCTATCATTGCTTTCCTGTGTAAGAACAACTTAGAATGCATGCAAATACATATGGTGATAGTACATTTCATTTATCTGTAGATTTGTCTTATAAAAGAGCTCTGGGTATGCAGCTAGCTATAAGTTAGTGCTGTTACATTTAAAACATACTGTGCTCTGAGCCCCTCTGTAGCTTGCTGACAAGTGTTGTGATGCAAAAATCAGCCTGACAGAGCTGCCTGCATCTTGGCTTATTTCTGCTTGTTTCTTGCTGAATTTTAAGGTGTCGGTATGTCTTGATATACACAGATTGCAAGGAGTCATTTGAATTGTTGTAGTGGCTGTTTCAAAGTAGAGCTCAGATCTATATGTGTATGACTGTTTCTGTAGTAAATTAGGTACACATTTCTGACTTTATTTCCAATCGCCTTCACAGCACCGCCATCACGCAGTCCTCCCAGGATTCCTGTTGATAATGAGCCAAAGGAAGTGGAAATTGGTGATTAGTTACATCATTCTGAAAAACTTATTTTAAAGAAAAACATGTACAGGAAGTGAACACACAAAATCAAGCAGCCCATTAGTTGTTTGTGTCACTTCTAGTGACCTGCTTTTAATGGCTTTTTTTCTCCTCCACTCAATTTAGGCCAGCCTTACACATTCTTATGTAAGGCACTTTTTCCTTTTGAACTAAATTTTTCACCAAAGATAGAGTGGTACATGAATAATGATGGTAACATGACTCTACTAGACAGTAAGTAAGTCGCATCAGTCCCTTACTACTAATGTTATAAAATCCATTCATGTAGCATGCAAAGCTCTCAACATCATTTCTGTAATGCAGACAGAAGTCTTTGAAAAAGTACACGCAAGAGTACGAGGTCATACAGGTAGCTACGATAAATGAGGTGACACCACATCACTTGACATACACGTATACCTGCATCGCCAGTAATACATTTGGAAACATCAGCGCCACAATCAAGCTGAAAAGAAAAATTAAAGGTAATAATGTTCTTATTGTTACTTCATCTGTTCATGTTTTAGTCAGACTATATTTGTAATAACACTGTTATATCACTGTGCTTTAGTCACTGTTGTGGTCTGCTGCAATAGACAGTATTTTTGCAAAAAAAAACCAAAAAAACTAATCACCAAACAAGCAAAAAATGTGATGAAATCCAATCTAAAGCTAAAGAGAAAGCTATTTAACTCATATTCATCACAAACAAAATTCTTAAAGCACGCGAGGGTTGCTCTGTGTCTGCTTAATGTGTAGTTAAACTGTTTCAGTTTTGTCTTCCAGCTTCTACCCATCCAGCTTCCCATGTCGGTCACTCCTGCTTTGAAGACGTAATACAATCTAAAAGTTGTTCTTTTGTTGTTGCTTTTTTCTTCTTGCAGTGCAATGGCCATCACTGGTTGGGTATCTAGTTACAGCCTTCCTGCCGGTGGGTGGGCTGATAATCGTCGTGCGTGTAAAATGGCTGGAGATACAGCTCATCTACAGATGCTACTTTAAAAATGGAAAACACAATGGAGGTTAATGCAGATGCACATAGACTGGCACACCTGTCTCTCCTCTTTATAGGACATGGCATTACTTAAATCCATAGGCTAACTGAAACACTGTGTCAATGCTTTAAAATAGTCACTTTCTGCAGTAGTGGCAGTCAATATATTGTTTTGTCTCCACAAAGAAAGACTGTTATCATATTTTTTTTCTCACGCTGTCTTTCGCAACTTGACACCTCTACCAGATGAGAAAGAGTTTGATGTGTTTCTGTCGTATGTGTGGAGCCCTGCATCAGAAGAAGTGTTGGGAGGTGAGATCATTTCCTCCAGATCACCTCTTAATGATGAGGAAGGTAAGCCAAAGCAAGGATTCTTTTTTCACCCTATTACATTTTTAAAAAACATAAAGTAACAGTTTCTTTTGTTGACAGGAGAACTGTGTATCACCGACCTACTTAACGAGGAAGTTAAAGCTACCAAAAAGCCACTAGAGGTGCTGCTGCCCCAAGTGTTAGAGGACCAGTGGGGGTATCGCCTCTGTCTACTGGAGAGGGATGTGATTCCTGGAGGAGGTTAAAAGATCATATATCTGTGTCTGTGTGAGAGATGTTTCCCAAAAAGGTTCCTAATTTCTTTTTTCTCTACAGCATACACAAATGACGTGGTTCTTGCAATAAAGAAAAGCCAAATGCTTATCTGTGTCCTGTCAGATGACTACTTCACCAACAGTAATGCTGTGTTTGAACTGGAATCAGGAGTTCAGGTAGGATTACATACTCACAAAGCAGAACTTTTTCTTGTTTTGTATAGTTTCTGTAGTAATTAGAGATGGCACGATATCACTTTTTTTTCCAATACCGATTCCGATATCATAAATTTGGATATCTGCCAATACCGATATGAATCCGATAAAGCGCTTTTTGTAATCAATAAAACAGTTTTTAATAAATATCTTGCTGCATTTTGCAGAAGTTCATACTCAAGTTTTAAAAAAACAAGGGACTGAAGCTATTTTGTTATACCTGTATGCAAAAAATACACTCCACCCAAAACATTTTATAGTTCAGCAACACTGATCAATCTAATAAATTTAAACCTACACCATCCTCCCTATTCTGGTATTTTAAAGAGTACTTACCTACCTAACTAATAGGGTTGCCAACTCCCAGCAAAAATATTAGGGAACCACCCCCCGCTCTTAATCGATGTAATCAACTTTAATTTAATGCATGTGTAAAACAAATGCACAGAAATCAATTATTTTTCTACAATATTTAAAGAGATTCAACATCTTTCTTCAACAGAATTGCAGACTGCACAGATGGTACCTTCCCAAAGGAAAACGTACTATAGCTTACTAGGGTGTATATTACACTTATTAGTTACTATATACAATAATGGATTTCTATACATTTAATCAGATGACCACTTTTGTTGTAAGATTCAGATAATTATTTGTTCAAAGTTTTTAAATGACATAACAAAGAAAAATATTTCTTTGTGCCTCCCTTTCCCTGTTAATGCCCTACCTGGCCCCCTGGCAACACTTTGCTAGAGCCGCCCCTGCACAGTTACCAGCCGTCAGCTACTTAGAAAAGGATCCTGGTGTTATTTATCTCTCAGAAACAGTTCATAACTTCCCTTCAACTCATTCATGTCACCTAAAAGGTAAACCTGTTTCTCCATCACCTGTTCAGCTCTGATGATTCAGTAAGGACATCTCCTGGTTTCATCTTCATGTTTCCCTCTCACCACATATCCAAACGGATATCATGACCAGCAGCTTTTACAGCCGTGGCTCCAGCAAACCTCAGCTGATACTAGAAAGTGATATTAAATACATTCTAACAACAGCTTATCAAGCTGAAAGACGGGACTTGCTGCAGAAAAGCCGATCAGCTGATCATTGATCAGTTTCATGTTTGAAGTAATAACAGGAGAGGAAGGGGGAGTGAATGAGAGAAGTAGATACAACTGCACAGCAAAGACAGAATAACTCCAGCTTTGTGTCTATTTTTTAATTCTAGCTGAAGTACGGGACAAATCGCTTCCTTTTCACCTCAATATGGAACTCCGATGGCCAGTCCAGCTGTGGATCCATATATCAGTTGTTAATCTTAACATGGAAACACTATGCAAACATTCAGGGATGAACTTACACACTTGCTTTACTTCTCTGGGATAGTTTTCGCCAAGATGAAATGCCGCGGTTAGGAAGCATGTAGCGAGGCTCCAAATGCTCCAACAGACCACCGACAGGTCTGGCAGACAACAGCCGCTCTATCACGTGACACATACTGCTCCGATGCGCAGAGCTGGGTTACGCCAATCAGCGCGTTTTGTGAGGTGATTTTGTGATACTTCGGATTGGATTACATTTTTAATTTCTCTCCGATATCCGATCCAGTAATTTAAGTCAGTATCGGACCGATACCGATACGTAATATCGGATCGGTCCATCTCTAGTAGTAATCAGACCAGATGGACTGTTACATGTAAGACAGATTAAAATTCATTGATTACTGATCCCCCCGGGATAACCTGTGGCAAAAACGACTCTCACAATCACACTTCTAGGTCACAGTTTTAAATCTCTTCTGCAATCGCATACAAAAATTGGCCACCTTACTTGCTTCAACAGCTTTGTAGATATTTGAAGTTTACACAGCTACGTTCTCCCCTGAAAATATGTTAAAAGTTTATTTTGTGACCCAGAAAGAGTAATAAGAGTAATATTAAAAACTTAGTAGCGGCCGCTATTGTTGAAAACTGGAATTGGCTGATCCACGCTATGAATTCTGGGATATGGTGGGCCATAAAGGACACACCCGACCCATCCTTAAAATTCGTGGAAAAGGAGGACGCATTTGTCTGCATTCGGAGGAGTCTACGAATTTGGGCAGCCTTTGTCGCATCGCTGTGGCGTAATCGGCCTACAAATGCAGCCCATGAATTTGGACACCCCCCAACGGTACCTTTTCCCTCAGGGGTGATCAGCCCGTCCACGGAACCGTTGTTCAGCGATCACACGGACCATCCTGTTTGTGACATCATCTTATTGCGGAAGTTTTCCATTAAATAAAGCCTGCAGACAAGTGGTGAGCGGTAGCTAACATTCTTTAATCAAATCAAAGAACAGAAAACTAAGCTTGGTGGAGAGGATGCATGACCGTGGGGCAGACGGTCAGCAGAGTCCCTCTCTGAGCCTTGCATGGCTCTCAGTTAAATACCTTCTCTAGGAACAAAAGGCAGTACACAGCTGTTTCACACCTTAAGGTTCACACTCCCTTGCTACCTCCCAGAGTCCTCGAAGACACAAAAGACTCTTCCTGTGGAGTTGTCTGCTTCCCCCCAACTTCCTTACCAGACCCCCACCATCTGTCTAACTGCTTGAGTGTGAGACATGCTAAAATCCAGTGGCACTAAGGCATTATACAATAAAATAATGTGAATAATACATAAATAAAAGACATTCTTATACACATCATATCACGGTACCGCACTGGAGTTCACTGAGCTCCAGATTCCATTCAATTCAATTCAAAATTTATTTGTATAGCACATTTAAAAACAACTAACCCTTTGGTTAACTAACAGTTAATCAAAGTGCTTCACAATCAGTTAAGAACAAGAGAAAGCAATAGGAAACAAATATAGATAAATTAGAAACAAATACTGATAAATGAGAAGACAATGAATTAACATTAAAAACATAAAACAGGTACTCAAACTGAACTCGAATTAAAAGCCAAAGTAAAAAAGTGAGTTTTAAGACGCGACTTAAAAGACTGAAGACTCTGAAGTACAAATCTCCACTGGCAGATTATTCCAGAGTCTGGGTGCTGCTGCTACGAAGGCCCGATCTCCTCTATGCTTCAATCAAGGCCTCGGTTGTGCTAAGAGCATCTGGTTAGGTGATCTCAGCCCTCTTTTGGGGTCATACATGTTGAGGAGTTTGTTTAAATAACTGGGCGCCATATTATTTAAAACTTTAAAAGTAAGTAAAAGAATCTTAAAATCAATACGATACTTTACAGGAAGCCAATGTAAATTTGCTAAAACTGGAATGATGTGTTCATGCATTCTAACACCTGTTAAAAGAAGTGCAGCATCATTTTGGACTAACTGCAAGCGATGGAGAGATTAGTATTAAGGACCCAAATAGAGTGAATTGCAGTAGTCCAGTCTAGAGGTGATTAAGGCATGAATAAGTGTTTCTAGGTCTCTTGGAGGACGATGAAGCGGTCTCCATGCCTAGATGCTTGGTTTTATACACCTGTGGCCGTGGACTTCATTTTAACAAATGTTTTGATGGTAATTGAATACTTTTGGCAGTTAAATGTACCTTCTAAAGCTTTATTTTTTCCCTGGACACATTATGAAAACATGCAATTTTCCTTCCAAACTTCACACTTATGTTTAGCAAATAATGACTATGTAGAAGTTGCCAGTGGAAAACTTTCATTTTGCAAGAAGCACAACCCGAATACAATCCTGTAAGTTTCATTTAATCACTTCAGTGACTTAAATTGAAACCAATAGCTGTGTGAATCTTCTTTTACGATAAAGGTGCAATTTTTTTAAACAAGAAAATATTTATAATTTCTTAACAATTAGATTGTTATCATTTATTTATCATTATTGTTTTGTTTTGGGGTTTTTTACACATTTTTAGGCTTTGCTGCAAAACTCTGTCCTAAAACTCCTGCTTTTATGGACCACTAAAGCCTCGCCATCTCTTATCCAGCCTGATCCCCCCCTGCCCACACTTGTGCAAAGGGCCTTGGGAGTGCTACCCAGCCTGGATTGGAGGTCAGGGGAACCTTCCCACAGCAACTTCTGGAGATCTTTAAGGAAGACCATGCCCAAAAACAAAGTGAAGCTAGTTTCAGTGAGGTAGCATTAATGATTTTTTTTGGTGTTGGAAGAAACTATAGAATTTATAAGGTTACTCTTCTTTTCTTACTGTACATTATATTTATTTACTGTGTACTGTAAAGGTGAAAGTTCTCTTAATATAGTTTTCATTAAAATGTTGCAAGCACTTTCAACAAAAGCCATTCAACCACAATTAACCACAGAACGTCAACGGAAATCATCATAAAAAATAAAAAAACAGAAATCCTTATGATACCTGAAATATTTTCATGTGTATACTGTGCATAGTATTTTTTTTAACTTTGAAATACTGTTTAACACCTTGGTTTTGCTTTGTACTTATTTTTCTTATATAGAGCTCACAGTTTATCATTCATATTTATTTTCTGAGCGTCTGCAATAAAAACATAAATTCTTCCTGGCTTTAATAATGTATTTTGATTCTCAAGGTCAGAACAAAAACACACGTTAAGGAAATTTCCATGACACAGATGTAGATTCATAGCTATCATTTTAACATTTTGGGAGGGAAAAAAGGGTGAGTCACCTCCTATACTATAGGGCTGGGTATCGCCCCTATTTCTAGAATCAATTCGATTCTTTTTCATAATCTCACGATTCGATTCAGTCAATTTTGACTAAGTCAGAAATATTATAAGTCTGATCAATTGTCAGTACTGACACCTATAAGACTTTATCAGAGGTGTGAGCATCACAGCAGATGCCTTTGTGTCAAAGCAACTGAGGATAAAACACAGAAAAACATGAAGGAGATTTTCCTGGCCTGGCTTTAAAGCAGATAACCTTAAAAATATTCTGCAGTAGAACAAAAACCGGAAAAAAAAAACATGAATCAGCATACGATCATTACCTAATGCTGCTGAAGTGAAGCAGAGCAATGTTAGAGGTTTTATTAGAGACACAGCTAAGCGTTTTGCAATTTGGCATAATTTTAAAAAATTTACATTTCTTTGGTATTGAACATAAAAAAATGAGGCTTTCTTGTTGGAAGTCTCTTTTTTTTTTTTTTTTTTAAACCAGTCTACCGCTGTAAACGACAGTAGACTGGTGGGTAATAAGCAAACGAATAATGCAGAAAAAAAGAGATTTGAGATGAGAAGCTGTTCTTGAAATACACAGAGAGAGAAAGCTGTGTAGGAAGTGTGATTTTATTGTGGTAGAAGCCAAAAAAAGCAAAAGTAAGAGGAAATTCACAATGATGTTTATGTGAAGCGAAATGTGAAGCATAGTTTGGATCTTCTTTTGCTGCTGGTTCAGTCAATTTTGGATGGAGAGTGACACAATCTGCAGCATCAGGATCTGTGAGCTGTCGGCTTTCAGCCCCAACGGCGTGTACGTGCCATCGGGTGAGAAATGAATCGATGTCGCTTTATTCAAGGTGAAATTGATTTTAATTGGAAAACCGATTATCGAAACTCAGCCCTACTATACTATAGTCACCTCCTATACTGACTTTATTAGTGTCCGTGAGTATTTGTATGTACCTGGTTTCACATGTTACAAAGACTGACTTATAAATACACATTTTAAAAAAGGAAATATTTAATGGAAACAGATTTCAGCATAACGTTGATTGAATTTATTAGGGGACGTTAACAGAACACTCAACCCACAGAAATTCAAAGTTCATATTTCTCATTAAGATGGATTTCCCCCAGACTGTAAAGCACAATGTATATCAGTGAGGTGCAACTTAAAATGGGCCTGATTAACATATCAACAGCACTGTTACCCACACCCTGGTATCCACATCATGCCGCATTCAGTCTGGGTTTCACACAGAGGTCAACTACAGACATATTAGTTTTGGACATAGAAATGAAATCAGACATATTTCTACAGTAATTAGCCTGAATGGGTAAAAGAAAGCAAGCATAACATAAACACTGAGGTGGCACAGCCGGTGAAAACCAAGGATCTGGAACTGACAAACTCATGCCATGTCTAGTGTACTTCACACTCAAGACAGCATAGGTCTCACACTCTGATTTGTGGCATTTTAAAAATAAAACACTGTGGCACTCCTATTTACATTTTTACACAGAAATTAAGCAAGCAGCACACTTGCTCACCAGCTTTGGAGAGGAGCAAAGGAAAATGTGGGGCGTAAGGTGAGAGTTTTGTTTTTTTCATTAACCTGAAAAAGCAAATACAATTGTAGCCATCATACTGGGGAATTTCTTTTCATCACCAGTTCACACCTTTTACACAGAGGTCAACCAGTATTTCAAAGTGGAAACAAATTCAGTCACAATCAAAGCAGGCTTAAAGTATTCATCATCACAGACCCACAGAGAAGTTGGAAAAACTAGGACTCTAATGACTAATTATCTGAGCCTTCACTGATATTTAACATGGTTAACCTATACAAAATTAGCTAGTAGTGACAAAATTTGCTGTAGTTATTTACAAGTTTTCTGCTTGGGACTTGAGCTTCCTTTCCCAAAGCTTTTGATGATCGGAAAATCCCTGTTTGCCCTTGTTGAAGGAATTAGGTCCTGCAGATGTTGGCGTTTCCCTAAAAAGGTGACAGAAGTAAAGAAATTAAAGATTTCAAAGCTGACCACAGAAGCCAAGTGCAAAATTGTAAAGTACAGTCTGTACCTCCCAATGTTCTTCATCCTCATCTTTGCTTCTGGAGGCATCTCCTCAGGTTCACTCTACATGACAAAAGAAAGTTAATATCAGCCTCTGAACATCTACTGTTCAAGCATTTTTTGTGATCGTGACATGCCTGCATGCACAGACACTTACATCATCATCTTCGTTAAAAACAGACGCTAGGCCCAGCTTTTTTGCAGGAAGTGATGGCGCAGTCTCTTTGGGCTTCTAAAAACAGGTTGGGGGACATGACAATTAGGAAAACAAAATAAAACACCACAACTTAGCATCAAGCATCACACCTCCATGCTCAGAAATCACAATCCTTCCTTCAGCTTCTGAATTATAGCAGTGAATAAAGAAGTTTATGTAACAACACAGAAGGTCAACGTGAAACTGACCTCTGATATTTTGGATATTACCAACACCAACATGCATATGAACACATTCATAAAATGGAGAAAATAGGGATGAAATGTGTTTTGTGAGGCAACCGTCATAGTGATGGCTGATCATCCAAAACTAGTCATTTGATTCTTATGGTCTATTGACTGTTAATGACAATTTTGAAGAACTTCACTCAAGGTAATAAATTGCGATTGCAGTCACAGTGTCTTTTGGAAGCATAAACACAGCAACATGCAAATCTTGGATGAGGTACACTGGTGGCCAGATTCAAATGACATGTCTTTTTAAAACTTTTAAAAACTTCACTACTACTTTTTAAAAACTCTTTAGGACTTTTCTGAGCAGTGTGCCATGATCATTTACAATCCCATGCTCTAACTTTTATGCTATTCAGACACTGTGTACAACAATTTCATGGGTGTTACAACACCCATTATATTAATAGGGTACAGATTTTTAAATAACAGCGTTGCACAGTGTTAGTCTACAGTCTCACATACTCACCGGTGCTCCCAGTTTAATAGATATGGGGTTTGTTTTCTTCCCCAATTGACTGCTCATGCTGAAGCCTATTTTGGAGACTTTGGTTGGTGCTGGTGGGTCTGCTGAAGACTCGTCTTCATCTTCGTGGGTGAGATGCTGGGATGTGCGTTTGACTGCGGTCCCTTCTCCCCCCACAGTGCTACAAGAGACAGGCTTAGTTTTCACTCTGCCTCCCTCCTCCTGCGGCCCTGCTTGAGGCAAGACAACTCACCAAGGTGAACAACTGTTTCCTGGGCGTTATTAAATCCATCATCTTTACCTGTATGGCTAGCCATTAATGAAGCAACGAAACATAAGTACCACTCTACCATTTAATTTGGTGCTTTATCAATCCACGTGACGACTGTGTGCGTAGTAAGTCGCAACCTTATCAGAATTTGGTGTTTGAAGCACTCTACATGATGTATAAGACCAGGTAACCCCAAGCTAAGATGCCAGCGCTAACTAGCATTAGTTAGCTAATAGCACACCAGCTATTCCGGCGAGTTATGAAGCTAAAAACAAAACAGTGGACTGTAGTAAAGAGTGATGCCTTTGGCTTATCAACTGTTAATTAATAGTACATCTGACACGCACCTAAATAGGTTAACGTCAACACAATATTAACTGCTAACTTGTCATTAGCAAGCTTATCTACTTAGCATGAAGTTGTCTTAAGACACCTTCTGCTAACGTCTCTTCTTAGTTTTAATAAACAGGGGGCATATCAAGCTAACACTGACTACTTTATATTTTTCAACCATATTATACACTATAAAACAGCACACATATCACCTCTGTCGTCGGTGTTACCCCTCCTTTTACGCTCGTTATCCGCCATTTTTTTCTCCACTCAATTTCACCGCTAGTCGTCTTCTGGCGCTGTTAGCAGTACAACCCTCCCACTCTGATAATAGAAGAAGAGGAAAATGGACGTAGCAATATGACAGCGAGCTAACCTGGTAAACAGAAACTGGTAAGAATAAGGAACTTAACGAGTTTAATCGCATAGCGTGTTATTTATAGCTTGTAGGTATTTAGGTAAAGCTACAGGTCGACTTGAGTTAATATTAAAAGTTGACCCTAATGTGAAATATTACCTGTTGTAGCTTTGCTATCCTCAGCTATGCTACGTGTTAATGTAATGCTGTGTTGGCTAACATTTATGTTACAGTTCATTAGCGCTGTAAGACCCAGTGTGTTTTATATACACGGCTGATATCTTTTAGATTACTTCCAGTAACGGTTATTTTACATAGTTAACACAATTGATAGACTTTATGCATTTCTGTCACCCTTGGATAACTTTCTGTCTTTTGTTGTTTGTTTGTTTTTTAAATTCCCAGTCCCTTTAAAAGCTTGCCCTAAGACAATGTACCAGTCAAGATGGGACAGACAATGTGCGTATGCTCCCGTGCCTCCATCACCATTGATAACAAAAAGTATTATTTTGTCCAGAAGCTCGACGAAGGGTAAGAAAACATTTTCACACTGTATGACTTTAACTACGCAGAAGTATATCATAAGATTTTATATTTGTCACCAAATCCTAAATTAGAAAAAGAAACAAATGAATAATTAATCCTCTAAGAGTTATCCCGATGTAGCTCATTACTGTGACCTTCATTCATGAGTCTCATAGCTGCACTTGGTGACCGCATCTCAACTTACAGGGAACATGGGCACTGGTTGTTAGTTTGTAAACAGATCCTATACACTCTCTTCGTTATTTTATTTTATTAACAGGGAAGAATCAAGCTTATAACCTCAGATATGCTGGGAAATCATAAGGCAATGAAAGATGGATTAATGCATTGTTGATTATTAAAACTTTTTGGCTCTAGTTTCTTCTTTTACCTGTTCCCTTTTAGGATAACAGTGGTTATCTCCCTTTGTCTCACCTTAGCCATAGTCTTCCTCTGTCACACAAACCCTTTGTATATCCTCCTTCACTATATCCATGAATCTTCTCTGTGGCCTTCCTCTTTTCCTGCTGTCTGACACATATCTACTATCCCTCCTCTGTGCATGTCCAAACAATCTTTGTTTTCTACCTGTGTTTCCAAAGCCGTCCCTCTGATCTACTTATTTCTAATCCTGTCTAATCAGGTCACTCCCAGTGAAAATCTTAGCATCTTCAACTCTGCCCACTCTTTGTTTTTATTTTGTTTCTTTTTGGGGTTTTTTGGGGGGGGGGCAGTATCACAGGCTCCAAGCCATACATCATAGCAGGTTTCACTACCATCTTGCAAACCTTAACTTTGATTAATTTGCTATCCTTCTGTCATAAATCCCCCTGATCATTGTCTCAACAAACTCCAACCCACTACATGCACACTTTTCTTCACCTCCTTTGTTCAAACCAAAGCAAATATGTATGGCATGTCACTGTCAGTTTTGCATTGATAAACCTTTTTCTCTTTTTAGTGGGTTCAGTTTCGTTGATCTGGTTGAAGGGGTAAAGGATGGGCACTTCTATGCCCTGAAGAGAATCCTATGTCATGACCGTGAGGGTCGCCAGGAGGCTCAGACAGAGGTGGAGATGCACCAGATGTTTAACCATCCCAACGTCTTGAGCCTGGTTGCACATTCCTTTGTTGATCATGGAGGCAAGACTGAAGCCTGGCTACTTCTGCCATATATGAGAGTAAGTTTTTGCAGCAGTTATCATTAGCATAATCTTGAGAGAAATGATCTTGGTCTGATATGCTTGCGTGCTTATGCAAACAGAAAGGCAGTCTGTGGTCTGTTCTGGAGAAGCTGAGAGACAAGGGGAGCTCAATGCCTGAAAAACAAATTTTGCAAATCTTTCGTGGTATCTGCTCTGGACTGAAGGCCATTCACGACAAAGGCTATGCACACAGGTAATCCCTAACCAACTGAGATGTTGAATAAGAAATTATATGAAAAAAAAGAATAAACATCATTGTGCTGTTATTAGGGCTGCTCAATTAATCGAATTTTAATCACGATTACGATCTGGGCTTTCAACGATCATTAAAAATGACTGAGCCGATTATTAGCCCCTCCCTCATTTATCCGCGACACCTTAAAGGCCGGTCCGTGAAAATATTGTCGGGCATAAACCGGTCCGTGGCGCAAAAAAGGTTGGAGACCGCTGATTAAGAGGACCCGAAGGAAGCTCGGAAAGCTAAGCAGAAGTTATTTGGAGAGTGACTGCCGTTGGTTGAAAAGAGAGTTTAAAAAAAAAAAAACGTCAGTGGTGTTGCACACTATTTTATATTATTTTTTAAAGTCATTGTTAACCCTTTAAAGCCGGTCAGAGCAGCACGCTCCGTTTTGCGTAACTATTTTAAAATCCCTGTAGAACCTGAACCATGTAAGCTAGCGCAATAATTTGTTTTGCATATGAAACCGGAGGAGTTGTACTAACATCTTATGCCATCAGCTTGTCCTCGGTCACGGTTTCGTTCCACATATAGCTTTGCAAAAATTGCATAAAAAGCGCTTGCAGGAACAAAAACATAATATTCCAGAAACACGCTTTGCCGTTCCTATCAGCTGTTCGTAACACTTCCCACAGTGAAATGATGCACATGCTGTTTTCTTTGCAAATTTGCATCATAGGATTGTTTTTTGTTTTTCCTGCAGTATATAAAAATTGCTGTATCTCCAAAATAAAACTATGAAGACACTCAAAATAAATTTCCTGTTGTTGTAAACTATTTTTTGCAACTTTTTTGTATTTAAAGTTTTGAGGGATAAACCTCTTAAATTTCTCCAAGTAGAAATATATGTAAACAAAACAAAAGCGATTTTCAATTTTTTTTGTAGTTTATTGCACTTTTTTGCAATTTATGTAATTACTATGGACTTAATGCATACATATTATTAAAATATGGGCTATAACAGTTGTATTGATGTATAGCAACTTGAAATGCTCCCACAAATGGCACTACAACATGTAAAAAAAATAATATAAGCTCTGGTGGACTTTGTTCTATGGTAGGTCTTAAAGGGTTAAATAAATATCGTCAAATAATCGTGATCTCAATTTCAGTGAAAATAATCGTGATTATCATTTTTGCCATAATCGAGCAGCCCTAGCTGTTATGCATTATTTGATTAAAACTTTAATCTTACTTCCGATCTGTTTATTTTTGACTTGGGGTATGCAGTTTTTCAGCAGCAGTGCATGGTGGTGCAGAAATGACAAGCGAGTGCACTACATGCATATCATGTTTCACACATTTCAAAAGAAATACTAGATTATTTTGCCATATTCAGATTCATTACTCCCATAAAGGGGGAAAATCCATAATTTTTATCTTTTAGAAAGCTCCACAATACTTATGCATTTAGAAACAAAAACATTATTTCACCACTTAAATAAGTTGAACCAGTTGTGTGTCTTGCAGCTCATTGCCATATTGTCTTTATTGATGGTCAGCTGCAAATAGCTTGACCACATTCTAACAAACATATGGGACAAACACAGTGTTTGTGTGGGTCAAAGTGGGACACGTTTACAATGCTGGGAGGTGGTCAAATGCAATATATTTGAACGTAACCTTTTAAACTTTCTTGCCAACTTACTAAATAGTTGTCAGTAGCATCTGTATATCTCATATCTGACAATTTTAGTAATTTTTAACAAGTTATGGCACATGCACTTCACAGAATAATTGTTCTTGTGCAAAATAACTTTAGAAAAACAAATTTCTCACTATATACTACCTTTTCATTTTCTGTGTTGTAGTTTCTATCATTTTCACAAAAATTTGCAAAGCTTCTTACTTTTTGGTAATTTGGAACTTTAGCCTGACTAATGTTATACCCAATGTGACTATGCTAAAAATACTTCCCTTCATACACATTGACTAAAAGCCAGGCTTTAGAAAAGTGCATGTATTGAAGAACCAGTCAAAATGTAGCACATTGTCTCAAGATTATTTGTCTAAATAGTTGTACTTCTTTTGAAAAACAAACTAAAGGTAGTTTGGTTATCATCAAAATGGCAATTTCAGCTCGAGTGACCAGATGTTCCTCTTTATGTGGGACTGCACAGCATTTTTACTTCTTGTCCAACGTCCCACAGCTTACCCGAGTGACTGGTTGTTGCCAGATGGTCAGCAACAGGCCTCCAGGCATGAGTGACTGATGCAACAGTCAACCTGCTTTTGTGTTTTTTGTTTTTAACCCAACAGAGTTGTCTACATCTAAATGCCTGCTGTGTGCTATAATTTGACAGAGACATAAAGCCCACGAATGTGCTTCTTGATGAGGATGACAGGCCAGTTCTGATGGACCTTGGCTCAATGAACCGTGCCAGGATTGAGGTAAAATCCAGGGTCTAAGAAGGATTTTTAAGATTTGTGACTTTATGGGGGTTTTTTGTGGAAAAAAAGACTTAGTTAGTTTAACTGAAGCCTGAGGTGAAACTGGTCACCACAGCATTTTTGTGCTCTGAATGTGTAAGAACAAAGTGCCGTCCTCACTACTTTTTTTGTGTTTGTTTATACTGAAAAGTAATTTTCAGGCTTTTATTTAATTGAATTCAATTCAATTTTATTGAATTTAAATGTTGCTGAGCTCCACCACTAGATGGCAGAGTAGTGAAGCTCATATTTAGGTTATACAGCTAAATGTCTGGGTTTTGTCTTTAGTTTCTCAGGACACAGCTGTTTTCTTTCTAGATTTTCTTTTCTTTTTTTTTCTTTTTTTTTAAACATAATTGACTGTGTAATGAGCAATGTCACATGTGACTTTTAACATTTCCATAGCTTTTATTGTTAGATTTGCTTTTTGTATGTCTCTGAAACTACTTTGTGGTTCTTTAACACATCCATCCAACGTCTTACCACTAGAGCCCCTAAACTACTTAACCCACGAAGGATTTAATAAAAATGACTTCATTGCAGGTAAAAGGATCCAGAGAAGCCATG